TAGTAGGTGGATGGCGGCGGTTAGGGGAGGGAGGGAGACGCCACTGGTGGCCCCCAGTGTCTCTCCCCCCCATACCCGACCCTGCAGCAGGATAGGCATGTAATGAGGTGATAAGATATGGGACACTGGACCCGGTTTCCAGCAGGTGTTGCTCCCCACCAATAGATGGAGCGGCCCGCYAGGCAAAGCCTCAATCCCRGTGGTTCTCTTACCACCACCAGGAWAGAGGTCTTGCACAAGGGCCTTTAAAAAAAAAAAAAAAAAAAAAAAAAAAAAAAAAAAAAAATTGTCTTAGTTGAATTCAGATATAACTGTGTATGTTTTGTGCTCTAGGTCAGTCGATGCCAGAGAGACGCTGGCCAGTGCCGGGGCATTGTCCTGTAACCTGTTACATAGGGGCTTGAGGCCTCGTAGAGAGATCTGGGGATTTCCAAGGGAGGAAGGAAATCCAGTGACTGACCAGGGGCTACTGTCAGGTCGACGATGGTCGGAGCTGGGGTGGGTCCCTCTGCTCTGTAACCTAGCTTGATTGGGGGCGTGAGACCGGTATAGGCCTGGATGTGTAGACAGTATAGCTACGATTGGATTTGGCTGGGTAGAAAGGGATACCTTGAATGAGGGATTGGATAGAAGTAGAGTTCTGAGATGGCCATCTTTTCCAAATCTTAGATACATTCCTAATTATCACAATCTTCCAAATCATCCTCCAATCATCCCCCAATCATCCTCAAATCATCATCAAATCATCATCAATTTCATTATTGTATTCTCATTATATCATCAATTTCATCATTGTATTCTCGTTATATCATCAATTTCATTATTGTATTCTCATTATAAGGGACGGTGGGCCCAGCTCCCAGCACATGATGCTCCCCACAAATAGATTGGAGCGTATTTAAAAGAGAGAGAAAAAAGTGATTGCCTTCAGAAGTTCAGATTCATCCATGCCGGGCCATAAGTGCGGCAAGATACATTCTGGAAAAAGCTAGCATGAGACTGCCCTCGAACGGGGTACGATGGACAAGGAGGTAGGGGGCTGGTCAAAGGTAGGGCTAGGTAGGCGAAGAAAGCCCCAGGCAGGTTGGGAGATGTTGGAGACCTCGGGGTCAGGTTTCATCCGGCTGCATGTTATGTACTTGCAGGAATCTCTTTGCTGTTGAAAGGGACGCTGGATCCTTTTTCCAGCAGGTGATGCTCCCCACCAATAGATGGAGCCTCCCCGACAGTACTAGAGGTGTCTGCTCCTATCAGCACCCCTAGTACATTCCTTTGCTGACAGGCACTTGATTGCACCTCGTCCCTCACAGGGAGTCACCACACAGACGAGATTCTTCTTCCTAAAAAGAATATACGTTCATGTCACATCAGAGTTTCATAGGGGGCAAAAAAAACATGTGTCGGCAAAGAAACCAGGCGTGAGTAGAAAAGGGCAATGAAAGTACCGCGGCTGTGGTGTCAGGCTGAGTGTGATATTTTACAGGGGTCGGCCCTGGTGTCAGATGGGGAGACAAAGAAAAAAGAGCCGAACGGGTGCTTTTCGACCGAAATTGCTGTTTCAAAGTCGGCGCATGATTTCTTTGCCGGCTCATGTTTTTTTTGCCTTTACGAACTCAAAACCTGCCACATCCACCATTGTTTCAAAGGAAAACCTTCAGAACGTCATTGCCTTCAGATTCACCCATAACCGCGACCAGATACATTTTCGGAAGTGATGGCATGAAAATGCCCTGAAAGGTTCCTTTTCTTTTCTTTTTTCACGTCATTGCCTTCAGCGTCCGTGCATGTGGAAACAAATGCACGACATAAACCAGGTGGACATGTTGCAGTCCATTTGCCCCTTTTCCTTGGGCCCACTGGCTTCCTCTCTCATTGCACTACTGAGTCCAATGCCAAACCCCGCTCTCCTTCCGTGTTAGCCGGCATGGAATTGTTTTTCAAGCAGGAAAAGGTACTGGTGGTTTGTACGACCAATACTTCCAAGGCACTTCTCTCTGGGACTGGAAGAGCAGCGCAAGCTCACCAGACCGCAATTTTCAGGGCGCGGCTGGAGCTAAATGCCTGCTGGTGCCAGCCAAAGAAGAAGACGCGCCAGTTCATTATTTTTGGCACGCAGGGAATTTCTAGGCTTGGCAAAGGGTCATAAGTGACTCATAAGTACTGGTGGTTTAAAGCACCAGTCTGGGGACCCTTCCTGAAAGTATTTGGGCCTGACATATTGGACCTGCCTAGTGCAGATCAGTGTGTATCTCCATGTATAGGGCCGCAAGTTGAGGGCAGAATCTCGTGGAGATGGCAATCTGACATCCTTACCCGTACCCATTTCCCCCCCACCCCTTTTTTTTTTTTAAATGGGAGCATGCTCCAATCTATTCGTGTGGAGCAGCACGTGCTGGGAACTGGGCCCAGCGTCCCATTCCAGATCATATTGAGAAATTGAGAAATTTATGGAGAAATCCTTGAGATACTGGGGCCATTACCCGGCTTCAGCTAAGAAAGACAACTGTTGTAATCTACACAAGAACACTAAAATGCTCAGTATTAGGAGATTTGATAATCTTTGTCTGCTTTTGGGAATTGTCCCTCATTCTGTCAGGCCGGTGTGCTTGGCTCATTTCGCTTGGGTCACTCTAAATGATGTAAGGGACGCTGGGCCCGTTTCCCAGCTATATGAATATACAAAGCTAAGCCAGGATCCTCGTCCTTTGAAAAAAAAAAAATGGTAAAGTAATGAACAAACTCAAACCATTTGCCATCATTTCAATATATGTAATATTATATATGCAGTGTGGGTTTATAGATTAAAGAGAATCTGAAAAATCAATAAAAGGAAAAGTGAAGGACAGTTAGGCTCTCCTTGGAAATCCAATTTTTTGAAAATTGGCATCCTTACACTGCGTCCTAATTCACCAAATTCCTTGAATGAATGTGAAAATGCTCCTGAGAGATTTCCTTGGGTTCCTCAGAATCCCCTGCCAAAACGTCCTTGGATGCAAGGGGGCCTTGCGAGGTCCCTTGGGTTAAAGGAGCCACGATTGACGAAGTGTTCTGGAGTGAGCGCCGACAGGAGAATTTGGAGTCGATGTTGGTGCGCAGGTCGTCCGTGGTCCATTGGGCGGACATCGCCGGCCTCCAGTACCCGATGGCCCTCCAACGGCCTTCCACCATTACCGTTGGCGCGGAAATGCGTAGAGGTGGTTCTTCAGCTGCAAGGCGCTTCACGAAGCAGGGTTTTTCGTGCACGCGTCGCCGACCGTGATGTCCAACGGTCAAAAAATTTTATTTTTCTACAGGCAATGTTGAAGCATTGTCGGCCGATTGCAGTCATTTGCCAAGCATGTTTTGTCGGCTATTGTCGGGCGCATTGATGCAAGCTTTGTTTGGTACACGCCTTGCATGCTGCGATTCATGGCGGACGTCCTCTGGCAGTTCCCGCTCCTGCTGCTGGCCACTCTTCTCTTGCTCCTTGTCGTGTTGTTCCACGTGTACGTTGTTGTGCGGGGTCCTGGCAGCAGATGGAAACTACGAATGGTGAGGAAAACGATGAGGGACAGCCGGGAAACCTCCAACAGACAGCCGGCGTGCGCCATTGACTACTCCACTCCTCAGCTTCTCCTTGTGGTACCCCCCACCGCGTCGTCAACCTGCCAGAGATCCTCCCATGTCCCTCCCGTCCTTCTCCTCATCCACCAGCTCAACGTCGCCCGCGGGATCACACCCGATGCCATGGTGCAGCAGAATTGCACAATGGATTCTGATAACGACACACAATCGGGTGCATCCATCGCTTGTTGCATCAGCTGCCTCTGCCTGTGAACAAACAATCTCCTCTCAGGCGAGCTGTCGTTCTCTCAATGCAATAACGCATTGAGACAGCTGACACAGCTGCGACCACCATGTTTCTCTCCAATATCGCCCTCGCACCACCCGGGAGCTCTCCCTCCATCGTCATGACTTGCAATGCACAAGCGCCCACCGCTCATTCGTCCGTCGGCGCCCTCGCTGCACCTTCTGCACCCCAATGGGGACCGCGCTAGCACTCTCCACGTTTCACAGCGACCCCATTTGCCATTATTTCAAATTTTCAATATATCGATGGTGGAGTTCTCAACCATTTGAAATGTTCACAGTGACTCCATTTGCCATTATTTCAAATTTTAAATGTATCAACGGTGGAAAATTTGAAATAATGGCAAATTTGGTCCCTTGGCCTTCAATTACATAAATGGATGGAGTTCTCAACCAAGGGACCCCATTTGCCATTATTTCAAATTTTCGATTTTTCAATATATCATGGGGCTCGTTCGACACTCCTCGGGCACATAAAATCCCCGAGGAAATCATGGTTCCACTTATCCTCGGGGAAGAAATGAAAAAAAAAAGTGAAAACATTTCCTCGGGGATTCCTCGGGCTACAGCCATTTGGACGCGTTCCCCAAGGGTCCTCCCGAGGTCCCTTGGAGGTCGAGCATCCGGAAGAATCGGGGCGTCGAGGGCATCTCTCTCGATGACAAATTTTGTCGCGGCTGGTCCATTGCTGTTCCTGACGGCCCGTGGACGGACATCTCCGGTTGGCAACGGTCGGTGTCATGGAATACTCCGCCAACGGTCCCCTTTGGCGGCCTGCCGTCCTATGCGGCGTCGAAAAGGGGCTGCCTTGTGTCGCTGCCCTTCGGCACGAGCAGGAAAGCGCCCAACGGTCAGCAGATTCGAATACTTCAGTCGGCCCCCGCTCTCCCGATTGCGCAGTGTCTTCCACGACGGAATACGTTACCCTGCTTTTGTCCGTAGCTCCGATCGGCCGTTTGCACCATTGACCCTCGCCGTTTCCTGGACGTCCACGTTTTGTCTTGTAGTTGTTGTCGTCGTCCATGTGCGTTTCATGGCCGACGTCTTTCGGAGGCTGCCGCTGCTGGTGCTGGTCGTCCTCCTGCTCCTCCTCTTAGTTATCTTCCACATGTGCATCCTCGACATCGTTTCGTGATGTGGCCACAGAAGACGGTCTTCGAAGAAGGGCGTCAATATGGAGGGGCGCCCGGGGATGTGCAGGTCTGTAGGGGATCAGGGTGGTGGCCAGCGGGTTGGGCAGAGCCCATCGAGAAGTTCAAGGTTGTCAGAGCGGTCTGGGTACACGCACCTGCCACCGCACTTGCAACCTCTGCCGGACACGTCCGACGAGGAGGCGGAGGACAGACGGTCACGGACCGTGCCGCTGGGAAGCGGGTCCACCCAAGAGTGGGCGGCTACAGAGCTTTGTGGAAGCCGCGACGGCGGTAATGGGCAGTCGTACACCGAACTCCTCCGGCAGGGGCTGAGTGGCGACGAAGGCGATGGCGACGTGAATCTGTTATTCGGGCTGTGTAGCGGGAGGTCGTCCGCCGCCTCGCGAACGGTCATCGTCAACCACCATCCCGATGACGACGGCGGGCAAGTGACGGCTGTTGCGCGGTCATCAAAGTCTCCAGCGCCGGTCCGGGAGGCGTCGGGGAACAACATGGATCCTCCGAGGCAGCAATACCGGTCGCCGTCTGTGTCGAGAGGTGCCTCGGCTCACTCCCTGTGGATGCAATCTCCGTCTCCCCTATCCGCCAGTTCGACTGCCCCCCCTCGTCAAGGCGAATGCGGGGAGACGGATTGTGGCATTGCCGATGTTGGTGATGCACGTGACGGGAGGGAGGTGTGGGCAAAACAGCGACGGATGCTTCATCCACGGCGGGAGGAATCCATAACTCGGGGGGTGCAGCGACTGCGTGTGGGGGAGGAGGAAAACGACGGCGACGCACCTGCGGTGGGCACGGACGATCAGGAGTGGAACGACGACGACGGTGAAGGCGGGGAGGACGACGGTGAAGGCGGGAAGACGAGGGCGTGTGCTCGCAATGGTCGTCGGGGGAAAAAAGCGGCGGGGAAAGGGAGCGATGCCGAAGGTGACGCTGATGCGGAAGGAGGTCGTCACTTCTGGTCCGTCGACGACATGATAGCCCTCATCCGGGCTAAACGTGACCAGGACGAGCATCTGCAGGGGATGGGTACCCCGTAAGCTCGTTTTTTTTTTTTTTTTTTTTTTTTTACAAAAAAACAGCCCAAGGAAGTGATAGTGGTGTTGGTAGAAGCAGACACCACTACTACTTCTCATGGCGGCTCCGTTTATTGGTGGGGAGCGACACCTGCTGGAAACCGGGTCCAGCGTCCCTTCACATCGTAATATTTCACATGTTTATGCAAACCCCACTGCAAACCCCACTGCTAGTCCTACCCTTCTTCCGAGTACAATATGCACGTCTAATCCTTGAGAACAAATAGACTTTGCTAGATTTGCCTCTTCAGCCCTTCGTTGGGCCGCCTGATGCTATCCATAGGCTCTAGCAGTCTAGCTACTCCTCACTCTCCCTCATACCATGCCTTGCTTACAAGACTATTTGCAAAGGGGGGGGGGAAGTCAGGGAATTGGTCGCTTGGCCGCAATGGAATTGAATCTTCTAGCTTGGTCCAATCATTGAAGAGGAGTCTATAGTCTCTGGTTATCTGCTCGTTGTCCTGCCCCTCCTTCTGCCCCTTCTCTCCTCCTTTCCATTCCACTTTCCCCATCCTCCCCCCCGCTTTCCCCCCGAGCCAGTCTCTACAGAATCTTTGGATTTTTTCCTTTATTTCGTTTTGAGTGTGGGTGTGTTTGATTTGCATTTTGACTTCCTCCCATCTTGCTATTATGTTTGTCTGGATCTGTTGCTGTAAGCTCTCCGTAAATTCTGACCCTTCCATTCTCACTCCCTCCATCTCATAGGTGCAGCGTCGTCTCCACAGTGCCCATAAGACTACCCTGCGTCCTTGTTTAAACATATTAAGGGTGAAGTCATCAGGCTGTTCCGAGGGCCATTTTTCCAACATCAGGGCCCTCTAGTCCTATGGCCAGGGTGTCCCTGTTCCCAGTTGGTCCCAGATTCTATCCCACCATGGCCAGAGCCTGACAGCGCCCGCCGCCCAGGCATTGAAGAAATATATGTTCTATTGTCTCTGGTCTTTTTCTTGATGGGAATGCATTCGTGCATAATCTACACCAGGGCAGGGCGAGTCCTTTCTGTTCAAGGTTGGTCCTGTCAATCAGCCAATTGTTAGTTGGTAGGCACCTGTGTTCCATTTGCCATTGTAAGGAGACCAGGTTGGCAGGTTTAGATTTGATTAATTGGAACCATTTAACATTTCTCAGTGCTTCTTTGCTGATGTTCAGGTGATTCATCCATCTCGCTTCCACCCGGTCCCGCAGGTTGGTTTTCGGTCGGAGCATTTTGTATGTTGCTTTGACTGTGATATCAGATAGCGTTTTAGTGCTGGTTCTACCCCTGCCTATTGTGTTTGTCCATACCCATTCCTAGGGGTCCAAGGGCAGTTGGGAAATCGGCGTGTCCGGGGAGAACGTCACCCATCTCTCGTCCTCCCTCAACACTCTAATTCTTGAGAGTTCCTTCTCTTCGACTAGTTGTATCTGTTCAGGGTTAGCCTTTTGGACTGAGTTATCATTGCAGATTGTGAAGATGTCGACTGCCACCGATCCTGTCGGGTTTCTGCGCACCACATTACCCACTTCTCCCTGATGGCCCCGAATTAGGACCCAGTCAAACTCTCGTATCGAGGGCCCCTTTCTTAGGATTTTCCACCAGTGTAGGGGAATGCATTCTATCAAGTGTCCCAGGGCCTCCTCCGGTTTGTGGCAATACCTCAGCTTTTCCTTAAGTTGGTCTCTTGCGATCCAGTCCCTACTATCCATGTCCCAGATGTCCCTAATTCTAAGGACCCATTTTTTCACCCATCCTTTCCATGGGGAGTCCGTGCAATGCAGGACCTGGCCCCTTGTGTTAGTTATCCTTGTATTTCCAAATAATGGTTGTCGGGTCACCTCCTCCCATCTTTCTGGGTGGGTTTTGTCTGGCAGTGAAAGGTTTCTCCATATCTGCAGTAGGTTTGGCCAGAAAGGGTCATTCTGCAGGTCCTTCCTTGCCTCACGTCTCGGTGAATTGACCTCGTCCGCATTTTCTCGCTATGCTCGTCGCCGCGGGATTGGCCATTCTCTGTTTTCAATCCATGTGAGCGGGTTGATGTGGGCCGGTGTTTCTGGAGCTAATCTCGAGAGCTGCTCTAGTGCCAGGTCTCTCCATGGGGTATTCGGGCAGAAGAGCAGACGATTAAGCCATTGTATGGCCATAGCCTTGACCTGTATTGTCGGATCGATAATACCCAACCCCCCCTTAACTTTGGGTTGGATAATCGCTAGCCATGCTACTCTGCTGATAACATTGTGTTTTTCGTGGTTCCCCCGCCACAAAAAGGCAACCAGCTATCGCTGTAGGGCTTTTAGGGAGGGTTTGTCTAGCCCCCAAATAGCCGATTTGTACCAGAGAGAGGCGAGCACCACGTTGTTGATAACCAGGGCCCTGCCCATCAGTGAGGTGTGTTTATCTTTCCATACGGCTAGTTTCTCTAAGGGGGGTCTGGTTATCCATTCGTTGTTGGTTGGTGGTATGCCGAAGGCTGTCAATGAGACTCCCATGACCCTGATTGGGGCTTCGTGCGGTAACCATCTAACCCTTGGTTGTTCGGGGGTTCTTACCACCTGATAGTGGATCTACCAGCCTAGGGTCTTATTCCCCCAGTTAACTCTCATGTCCGATAAGGCACAAAAATGGTCCATCATCTGTTAGACTCCTTCCACCGACTCTCGGGTTGCATCCACCATAAGGGTCAGATCGTCCGCAAACATGAAGCATACCGGGATAGCTTCTTTGGGGATTGAAGATAGTTGTATTCTGTTGATATCTCTGTGCCCGATTTGCTGCTAGAGCTTCCATAATTATCACGGAGAGGTAAGGGGCTCAGGGAATCTCCCTGTCTTACTGACCTTTGTAAATTAATTGGTGGTGCCAGGTTGCCGTTGACCATGACCCTAGTTGTTGTGTTCTTGTGGAGGATCTGCACCCACCGTCTAAGTTGGGGCCAAAATTAAAAATTTCCAGACATTTGTCCAGGATTATCCAATCCACGTGATCGTAAGTCTTTTCAAAATCGATGAAGATGAGGCCGGGTTTTGTTTAGATTGCCTTGTTAGCTTGATCACTTCATTAACTAGTAGGATATTGTCCTGGATGTTCATGTTTTCGATGAATCCCATCTGTTTGGGGTGTATGATGTCTTCCATTACTTTGGTCAGGCGGTCTGTCAGTGTTTTTGCCACCATTTTATAGACTACTGTGAGGAGTGTAATTGGTCTGTAGTTTTTTATGTTCGTCTTTGCTCCTTTTTTGTGTATGAGTGTTAAGACCCCGTGGCCTACGAATTCCCCTGTCCTGCCTTCCTCCCACATTGCATTGTAGTACCCCATCAAGTCTTGCGACATGTCCTCCCACATTTCCTCCCAGAATTCCTTTGGCAGACCATCTATCTCGGGGGTGTTTTCCTTTTCCAAGAGCTTCAGTGCGGACCATACCTCCTCTCTTGTGAGTGGCTTTTCTAACAGTTCTTTTTGTTGCTCAGACAGAGACCTGATGAGAGGGAGCAGAAATTCATCGATTTCCTTTAGTCTTTGCTCCTCTGGATATGGTCCGCACTCCAATGTGAAGAGGTTTTGAAAAAAGTCCCTTGCTATCTTTGTGCAGGCTGTTGTTGATGTGAGTAGTGGACCGTCGTGAGCCTTCGGGTCCTCCAGGGCTTCGATCGTCGTTCGCCCGAACTTTGCTTTGGCCATTGCGAAAAATCTTGTGTCCATTGCTCCTTCGGCATTGTGTTTGTGCAGTTTTCCCCGGATCCTAATGCCTTGCCAGCGGTACTCCATTTTTTCCAGGATCTGGGCTTCTAGCGTTTGTATCTCATTAGCTATTTCTGTTAGTCTTGTGGCGTCGCTCATGTCTTCTTCTTGTTATTGAAGGTGTTGTAGTCTGGAGGTTTATTTCTTCCGCGTTACGCCGAGCTGCGAGGAGTTTTGAGTATTTGTTGCACTTGCGGCCCAGGAATGCCAGGTCGTTGTTGAACCATAGTATGTCATCCTGAATCATGTCCTTTTGTTGGCGCCAATAGGCCCAGATGTCTTTCAGATAGGTTTTGAAGCGGTCTATAGTTAGGAGGGATGTGTTGAGTTTGTGGAATCCCATCCCCTCGTCTGGCTTCTTTCGAAACGAGAAGATGGCCAGGCATATTGCATGGTCGAGGCCTGGGTGGGGACTGCAGAGGAGTATTTCTGTCATTTGTAGGGCCCATTGCAATTCATTTGAGATTAGAATTAGGTCGATCCGCGATTTAGACACGCTCTCTGATCGGTTCTTGCGGAAGCATGTAAAGCCGTGTCTGGTAGGGAAGGCTTGTCTGAATGCATCTACGAGGTTGAGAGATTGAGTTAGATCTGCTATGGTTCTTTCGTCGTTTTCCACGTAGAATAGGCAGGGAGATGAAATCTTCCATCTGTCTAGCCACCGGTCCGGGGCCGTGTTGAAATCCCTTGCCATTATTATCGGTATTCCCGCCGGCAGTTTTGCTTTTAGTCGTTCAAAGAACAACTGTCTTTCCTTGGGCTCATTTGGGCCATACACTTTCAGGATGCTCACCACTTCAATTTCCAGCATCGTGAGCATGTACACCCATCTCCCTTCCTCCTGGTCCGCCTCCCAATTGAGTGGTTCCACCCTAGACCCCGGGGGGAGCCAGATGACTACTCCTCCACTGCCGGGTTTCGGGGCATAGGCTCGGTATGCCTGGTATGGCCATATTTCTTTGTGCACATGGTTGTGTTTCGGTGTGTCAGCCAGATGGGTTTCTTGTAAGCATATGACGTCTGGCCAGTCTTTTCCTTCCACTCCCCTCATGAGCTCGATGATCGCCCTCCGTTTGGTTGGTTTTGCAACAACCAATCCATTGACGTTGAGAGTGCGCAAATCGAGGTCTGTTGTTCGTTTGTTGAGTTTCCATTGTCTGTTCTTGTTAGAAAGCACGTCAATTACATTCATCGCTTTCTCTCTTCGTTCTCTTCCCCCCCCCCCTTTTTTTTATTTTTATTAAAAGGAGAGCCATGACCCTTTGTCTACTGGGCCGCCCTTCTGCAGGGTGCCGTTTGTCAGCAATTTGATTAAAAAGGTTCTGATGTCTGCTTCTTCCCAGGGGTCACCGACTTTGATCTTCAGTAATTGCAGCTCCATTATCATCTCTTGGCTGAACCAGTGAAGAACTTGCACTTTTGTCTGTTCATATCTCAGGGTACACATCCTTAGCGGATAATCTGTGCTCGCCGTATGATATCACCTGGAATGCAGAGGCGCCCTGCGGGAGGTGGTTCTGTACCAGTTGAGTTATATCCGACTTTAGCCGCGTGCGCTCGTATGAAGCCGCGAGAATGGAAGTGGTTGGATGTGGCGCAGAGGTTGAAAAAGGTGGGCGTCGACAGAGAAGCAGAACGGTGCGGGACGAAGTGGGACAATTTGATGCAGCAGTTCAAGAAGGTGCATCACTTCCAAGGCTTGTCCGGGAAACAGAACTTCCTCCAATTCTCTGGGAAAGAGAGGTTGTCGAAGGGCTTCAATTTCAACATGGATCGTGCGGTTTACGACGAGATACGGGGGTCGACCGCCAAGAGCCACACCATAAACCCCATGAACGTCGCCAACACTGGTGCTCCGGGTGGCGTGCATCTGTCGTCTGCCACTTTTGGGGATCCTGAATGCGATGGGGACGGTGGTGCAGGGCACGACGACGACGAGGACGGGTCGACGAGAGGTTCTTCTCAAACGATAGGAAGTCCTGCCGGTTTCGACAAGAGGAAGAGCACGAGGCAGCAAACTTTCGAAGCGCTGACATAATGCATGGAGAAGCACGGGGCTCTGGTGGCATCGACGATGGAGTGCAACAGCAAGCTACTGTGCTCTATCCAAATCCAGCAGTGCGAGGCGTTGGAAGCGGGGTCGAAGTGCAGAAAAAACACTACGCAACGTCTGACGAAGTTAGCAAACTGATGTGTCACGCTCTGCTGGAGATAGCGAAGGCCATCCGCGACCGTTAGAGTTTGTGCCGCCTCTGCTGTGCGCATTGTGGCTTCCATCATTTGGACGACATAAAAGTGAGAGTTTTTCCGTCGTCGATGTAGTCGTTGCCTGCCCATCGCGGACGTGACAGTTTTCGATTGGCCGTGCTGGCCAGGGAAGTGGGTGGTGGTCCAATTGGGTGGATGACTTCTCCTGTCACATTGGCGTCTGTTTCTTTTTTTGTTTTATTTTTGGGGTTTCTCGTAGGCTACTGCTGTTTGTCGGGACGGATAATTCCGTCATCTCTGAATTTATATTGGTGCCGATGAAGTGCAGTATGCACTTCCCTTTTTTAAATGACGACTTCGATTTGCTCTTTCTCTCTCCCTTTCTATCTATCTACTTGTCTCTCTCCCTCTGTCTCTCTGTTTTGGTCTCTTCCCCCCCCCCCCCCCCCCCTTCTCTCTCTCTCTCTCTTTCTCTCCACCAGCATGTGTTTTGTTGTCCTCTCCCCGAATGAAATGCAAAGGTGTAATAAAGGTGTTGTCTTCAATGTCGTCCATTTATGGAATAGTGTTGTTCATATCGTGAATACCCTCTCACAGTCGTCGATGGAGATGCCGTGCTTGTGTTCATTGCAAATTGTCGTCTAAATGTGGATGCCCAATCAGTACAAGTGGAGATTTTGAAATGTGTTGTTTCCTGCTATCCTATTTCGTGTCGTTGCCGATCCCTGGGTGGGGTGGCGTTTGTCGGAGGTCCAGGTGGCGGGAGGGGGGAGGGGGAGGGGGGGGGGGGSGTTGACGCCTCTCCCGCCAAACCAAMCCCCYCCYCCCCCCCCCSCCGCCCTCCCAAATATGTACGCTATGCTTGTTGGGGGGGGRGGGGGGGGGGGGGGGGTGGAGGCAGGGTGCTTTGGGGGGGTAGGTGAGTTTCGTGCTTGGGTACTTTCGTGATGCGCACATTGTTTTGGCGGAGGACGTGGATGGCGACTATTATGGGGGTTGCCTTTCGGGGCGGGGGTCCTTCGCCGCCAAAATTGACGAAGGGTGGCGAGAAGATGGGTGGCGGGGTCACTGGCCAGCGCCAGTCTACCCCGCGACCTGTAGCCTTTCGTGATGGTGATCATCGATGAGCCCCACGACACCATCGTTTCGACGGGAGGGCGATGAAATTGTCGTTTAACAGTTTTGGGCACTGCTCGTTCGTCGTCGTCCACCAAGCACAATTGTGTGTTTATAAGGATGCGGTCGTCCTTGCCAAATTAACGATTGGGCGCCAAACGCGCACATCACGGTACACATGCCAGCCTTCTTGCTGTGTCGCCTTCACCTGCTCCTGCCTCCTCTCCCCGCTTGTTCTTCTTCGCGGCACAAAGGCAGACGCACGCCGCACTCCGCCTTCGTGGACGATCCGCGCCTTCCGGCGGGTTCGCTGTGACGTGCTCGCGCTACGAAGGCCACTCGACGCCACTTTATGTGCCCGTGTTCGACCTCGTCGTTGTCTTCCTCGCCGCCTTCATCGCCTTTCTCACCATCCTCACTTTCGTCACCATCGTTGCGATCGTTGCCACGATCGCGGTCGTCACCTTGCTAAGTGCACGGGGTCATCGACCATCGTTGTCGCAGCATCCGCCGTGGGACATCTGAACGTCATCGTCTCGTTGTTCCACCGTGGAGTGCGAAGCTCAGATTCGTCATCGTCAACGCCATCGTCGCCATCATCGCCACGTTCGCCGTCTTTCCCGCCGTCTCCGTCATTGTCTTCATCACCGTTAAGGGTCGTCGTCGACAACGTCTTCCGGCCCGTCGACGACAGCGACGACATCATCGCCATACCCACCATCGCAGTCGAGACGACGATCTGAATCTGACGACACGTTTCGCCATCGCCGCGAAGATCTTGACTTTGCAGGTGATCAAGCTTGAAGTGGGTGTGTCGTGCGCCATGTCTTCCCGCGGTTCTGGACGAGGTAAGTCCGCCACCAACTTAGCAGTGGAAGCGGCTACCTGGGAGAAAAAGGGCTGCCACGTCACGAACAAGAAGAGGAAGCTCGTCCAAGGTGGCTCCTCACTTGCGAGGTATGTCCAGGATGAAGAGTGGGTGCCGGAGGGGGTGGCGTCGCAGGTGGAAAGTGACTTTGAGGAAGAGGAGGAAGTGTCGTTGAAGCGGAAGTCCTCGAGGCCCGAAAGTGGAGGCCTCCGGATCGAGGACGTTGGCGAAAGACGAGGCGGAGGAGGCCGCGCAATAATGGAAGACGTCATCGACGTTGACGTCGCGGCGGCATCCAGGCAGGGCGGGGGAACTGCCGTCGCACAGCAAAATCGCACGCCTGTGCCACGTGTGAATGACGGCCCGGTCGTGCAAGAGGGTGTCGTCCGCGCACGAACACCAGCAACCCCGCGGATGACGACGGCTACAGACGTTGGCGTGAACGTGCAAGCCATCGCTCAGGGGAAAAAGAGCCGCTCTCCTGCGGTGGAGGTGCGCGGGGCCGCACCGGGGGGGGCTTCACATGCGGGGGAAGGGGCGAGGGCAGGTGGTGGTGCAGAGGGGGGGATTCTCACGCAGGGGAAGGGGCGAAGGCAGGCGGGGCCGCAGCGGCGGGGGTTTCACACGTGGCTGAAGGAGTGAGGGCGGGTGGGGCCAAGGCAGGGGGGGGTCCACAGGCGGGGGAAGGGGCGAGGGCAGGCGATGTCGTAGGACCAGGGGAGGACGACGAAGCGCTGGTGAACGGGGTGCGTCAACGGTATACGCGGGATGGAATTGAGGCGGCGTCGAAGCTGTGGGTGGACGACCTCCGCTTCTGGAATGAAACGGAAGGGAACGGCATAGTGAAGTTGATATAGGAAGTGCGGCTGTATCTTGTTGTGGTGGTGCGGGGAGTGCAGCCTCCAGCCGTTCGTCGAAGCATCGTCTTGCCTCATACCACCATCCCGCAATACAAAATCGACGACGAATCAGAGTTGAATGTTGCGAAGGAGAGGGCGTTCAAGGTGCAGACGATCGCTTTGCGGGTGATCCACGGCTGGGTCTTCAAGTTGACGAACAGGCAACGGGGGTACCACACTGCGTACGGGTACGCGTTGAATCACACGGCCACTGACATCGCTCGCGCGATCTGGATGGGTGAGGACTGGCGTGTATGTGTAAGCCCCATGGTGTTCCACATTACGCTGAACATGGATATGAAGCTGCCACTGTGGTTCGTCGACACCAACATCGAAGACAGGCACGAGAACGGCGAGTTGGCGGCGTATCAGGAGGCGAGCATCCAGCGACTGGTGGGGGCTTTCATGAGCGTCTTGAGCATGGCGGAGGGGATCGACGGCGGTCGAGTGTCGCACGAAAGGTTGAAGTCTTAGAGCGTTGCAGACGCGATGAGGATCATGCTCGCGGCGACCATGTGGCTCATGCGGATGAGCGGGGACGATCATCACGTCGATTACGACGCATGGGTGTTTGTCCAACTGACAACAAAGCCAACGCTCATCGCATCCATGCATTGCTCATTCGACGCGCGTCGTCATATCGTGCAAGCTGCGACCGTCATCACGGACAAGTTGGCCAACCCCCCCATGACTTTGGTAGGCCCTCCATTGTACATCCCCGACTGGGCGTCAATCGGCATGAAGTTCTCACATGACGCCACATTGTCTTCCCCCATGGAGGCAAAGAAGCTTGATTGGTTGGGCACAGGTCCCCTGGAAGACGAAGACGACGACGAAGGGAGCGGGGGGGTTGATGACGCGTTCCTGGCGCCCGTCCTCGACGTCGCCATCGCAGGGTGGGATAAGGAGACAGTGACGTGGGATGGGGGATGCGCGAAGAGGGGGTGGTGTGAGGGGGGGGTCTGGGGGCGTCGTGCATGTGCGTGTTCGTCGTGGTGCGCTGCTGCTCTGCCCTCACTTGGTTCGACACTCCTCGGCAATCGTCGTGCCGGAGTGCACATATGTCATGGAACTTAGTGGGAGAGGAGGGCGGGGGGGGGGGGGGGGGGGGGCTTTCCTTTTGCGTCCACCCTCCGCAGGCATGTGTCTTTCGTGTCGCTGTACGGTCCGTAGTTAACACTCTGATTTCGTAGCCGGCGTCCTGTGCTCGCCAACACGTGGGATGATCTTGGCATGGGGATGGAGGTTGTCGCCAACGAGTCTTTGCGGGTGGAGAGGGGAGAGATGGGAGAGGGGGGATTTGGTAGAGGGGGTGTGCTTGGTTCGGTTTCATCTCAAACATGTTTAGGGGATACGTTAGAGATGGGGGTGGGGGTGGGGACAATGGCGAGGGGGGGGKGGGGGAGGGGTTGGGTTTGGTGATCGGTCATGGTAGTGGACGTTTCCGTGATGGTGATCATCACCGTCGCGGGTCAGTAACTGTTGTCGTAGGGGTGTTTCATGAACCTTTCGTTTTCTTTAAATTTTTTATTTTTTTTCAAACATGGCAAATCGATGTTCGTATTTGTTAATGCGAACATCGGAACATGTAATTGTGTTGATTGATATTTGATGATGTCTACATCGTGTTGTCGCTTCCTTTTTATTCCGCTTTCATTTGCATTCACGAATGCCATGGTAAGGGGGACGTAACGGGGTCAGGGATGCTTGCTTGAACAGCTGGTTGATGACGAAGTGAGGGATGTTCACACACGACATTGCAAATGTGCGAAGCAAAGATGGCAATACAAATAACATACAACAACGTCGTGCAATTGTGTACTTTTCATTCGTCGTGAAAGAATAAGACAAGCCACGCAACATAAATAATTTACACGATATGTTGTTAAATTGTTGTGTCTCGTATAAAAAAACAGCAGACGACGACACACTTTGCAAAAAATAAAGGCCTTGAAGGCAACTTCAATCCCAAGTTTCGAAAAACAGAACACACACGATGAAGACTCGACCACGTCACCCAGACACGTCACCCACGGTGACACCATACTACACGATAACTACGATAGGCACGTGCACGTGAGTCACATCGCCCCCGCCGACTACGCATTGGACTGCGCCATCGCCATCAACCCCAGGCGCCGACACCCTCCTGAACGGCGCTCAGTGCGAAACAAAACCGAATGAAACTGCCGACGCACGCCGCCCCGTGCATGACAACCCACAATGAAACAGCCGCCGCTGCGTGAACTCGCGATTTCTGGAAAACGGCCCCGTACACACAACAACCCAAACTCAGACGACCACCCCTTCCAGGGCAATACGCCTCCCGCGTCGTCTACTCCGATTTCTCGCCTGCTCCCTGCGTCATCCACTCCGATTTCTCGCCCCAACCATGTCATCGCAGCCACCCGCTCCGCACGCCTGGCCGTGTTCACTGCACACCCATTCTCTCTGCCAGTGCATCCCGAAGAATGAGCACATCCCCCGTCGACGACTCCATACACATCGGCCTCAAGGGCTGCTGCATCCCAAGATCCACCCCGTCCGGCCCGACCTCCCACAGTAGATTGTCGTCGAAGGGGATACCCGCGTCGATGAGTATGTTGTGCAGAATGCAGACGGCGACGAACTGCTGCGGCAACGTCTCCATGTTCGTCTTGTGCGAGCGAAGGAACAACCTCCACATCCTCTTCAGTTTGCCGAAAGACCTCTCAATTGCTCCCCTCGTCGTCTTCTGCTTGTTGTCGAAGCGCAACTCCAACGGGTGCTGAGAGAGACCGCCCTAGGGGACGACTACCCATTCGGAGGGGGGATAACCTTGTCGCCAGTAGATACCCGTTCGTCTGCACACCGAAAGGCAGCATAACAGGTGACCCAGTGAAAAGCTCCCCTATCTCAGCGCGCGCCCATAAACTCAAAAGGTGCACGATCCTCACGTCGTGGCAACTTCCCGAATAACCGACGAACACATCCAGCACGCACAAGTTCAGATCGACAACGACCTGCGCCTGGATAGAGAAACGTCGTTTTCTATCGTGGTAGTCCTCCCCAGGGCAATTCGCTGGCTTGTCCATGAAGATGTGGGTGCAATCGATGCACCCATGGCAATTAGGGAAACCCTTGTCAGCGAAAGCGTGCAAGACGACTGCCTTCTGCAACCCAGTCGACCAGGATATCTTGTCGGGGTACGCACTCAGCAACACCGCAGTTACATCCGGCACAGCCACCAACCCGGAAGATCTGCCAATGCCGAAGCTGCATGTCCCGTGTCTCCCCCGACGCCCACCTGTACAAAGCGTACACGACAATGTGGTCAGGCTGAGAGGCCCCCTATACAAAGTGACACGCCGTTCAAGGAAGGGAGACAAAGCTTCTGTGATCTCTCGAAACACACGTGATGACATGCGCATCTTGTCCTTGAAGTAGTCCGTCGTCGCGTCGTTGCATTGCCGCAGATCCTCCCACGTCCCGTTTGTCTGTCGCTTCATCCACCACATGGGCGTCGCTCTGGGAAATGCTCCACACCCCATGGCGTAGCACACCTGCAGCACGGCGTCGCAAATGGCACCATTGTCCTCTCCCTCCACATTCATGGACTGCAGCATCCTCTTTCGCCGTGCGCGAGTGGCCGCTCTCATCCTCCCCTCGCTCCTCTGCAATTGACACCGAAAGAGGATGGCGTTCACAACTGCTGCCAACGCCGTCCTCTCCGCCTTGCTCAGTATGTCACGGCCCGCCTCCCCGTTCATGGCCATCGCCGAAACTGGTACTGTCGACGTGGGCGCCGCCAACGGCGCCAAGTGCAGAAGACTCCACGTGTGCCGGGCCACACAACAGCGATGTTGCGAGTGATGGCTGGAGTGCACAGCGTACGCGTCGACGACGAAGGTGCATCTGCGAAGAAGACAACGATGGCGATCCTGTGACGGCGTGTCTGCTGCTTTGGACGCGTATATCTACGTTCGCTGTGCCCGCCGACATGCAGCCGCCACCTCGTACCGAAACTCTTCCGCCGAGGAACGTTGCTGCCGTCAGCCGCAAGGGATGCCCACGCCGCCGTCGGTCGCTTGCGGAAATTCGAATTTTGAATTTTGAACATGGGACTGCGCGCCTTTTTCGTGCCATTTTTTTCTTCCGCCGCCAACTTTCGAATTCGCAACGCCCGCCCGAGCTGGACCAACGATGTCGGCATGGACACACCTTGCTGGACCAACCTCCTCCCCCCCCACGTGTCCGTTTGTCGTCGTTGTCGATAAATGAAACTGGTCGCAGAAGGCCCCGAGGAATCGTCCTCGGGGAACAATTCCGCGGATGAGTGGAACGACGGCGCGAATTTCCTCGGGCGACGAGGGGAGAATTTCCTCGGGCCCCGAGGAGTGTCGAACGAGCCCCCATACCCCTAATTCAGCATTGGCCGAAGAGGGGAAGGTCTATAGTCCGCTGAGTGTCGGATTCGGGTCGAAGTTTCGGTGAGGGCCGACGGATGAAGGCGATTGAGGGCTGGAGAGTGTGCAAAGGGGCGCGCGTACCGAAATGTTCACAGTGCGCCACTAAGCAAGAGAGCGAGCCCCCAGGGGGGGGCACACAGCAGGCGTTCATGCAGATGAACATCTCGGAGTAGAGCCATCTGATATGCGGGTGCCGGTTTATTTTTTTTTTCCCCCGTCAGCTGTCGTTTTGTGCCCCCCTTTTCTTTTTTGCGCCATAAAAGAGAAAAGGGTGGCCCCACGCTCGCTCCCCTGCCCACACAAACACACACACACACGCACGCACGCATGGGAAAAGTTGGCAAGAACTGGGGCATTTTGCAAAGTTTGACAGTACCCGGTAGGGGTATGTTGCAAAGATAGGGGTCCGGCCAACGCCAGGGGTATTTCATAATTTATTTTTTTTGTCAAGACTCAAAAGGGCATTCCGATCTACTCACATCTTTTAGGGCCATTTTGGCATATATCTCAACTTCTTGGGGCATTCTTGCAAGTTATCCCCTTTTTTTGGTGTTGCTTTGGGGCTCATCTTTTTGTCCCCCAGTTTTGGTCTTTTGTGCATGTGGTAAAGTGAGGGCCTTTGGGCCTCAGGAAATCGCAAAACGACAGTGAATCCTGCGATAGAACATGGGAAGATGTACTGCATATTTTTTGTCTTCTGTGCAAATCGAGAGTAGTGGATGAGGCCCTTTGTCCTCTCTCTCTCTCTCTCTCTCTCTCTCTCTCTCTCTCTCTCTCTCTCTCTCTCTCTCTCTCTCTCTCTCTCTCTCTCTCTATCTATCTATCTATCTATCTATCTATCTATCTATCTATCTATCTATCT